TTTCAAGGACTCGAAGGTCACAAACTTGTTCGAGGTTCCACTCTTTTTGGATCTCACCTTAACCCAAGGCAACTGATTCCCTGCTGACGCCTAGACTCTCTGATTACTTCATGCTTTTTTCTAATTCTCAAACGCATAACTTCCCGACTTCTAACGCAGAGGTCTACTTCTAATATTTCTTACTCCGCCCATCTATACATTGTTCTTACCTATGTTTGACCTTTCCTGGCTGTTCAACTTTGTTAGCTCTACCTCTATGAACGGGCATTGAAGGCATGCGTAGATGTACCCCTAAAACGTGTTTAATAGGCCCGGCAGAACAGAATTCGGCACCCCAGCAGTGTTGCCTTTTCCAAGAAAATTACTGTTAAAGCGCAACGCCCACAGGGTCCACCCGCCCACAGATGTCCGACCAATGCTCGTGCTCATATCGCTTCATTTGCAAAGGATAATATAAAGTGAGGGGACAGTTATGAAGCGGTCACTGACATATGATTATTACATACAGGAGCCGTATCTACAAAGGCTTATTTTGCAGATTTTTGACCGTTTCACTTCGTTTTTTCGCCATTTTCCCCGTTGTGTAGCACACCTGCTAGCAGCTAACCAGGAAAGGTCAACAGGTCAGCCCGGCCATATGCAATGAGATGCACATCATTGTACTCATCTTGACACGGTGAACTCGAAACTATCTTCAAAATTTGCGGAACGATTCTCTGAGCGGAGTTATGGAGGTTTTTCTTTACTGTTTTTCTTCTTCCAGGCGCGCTGGCCGAAGCGTTGGCACCTGTAGCGCGACTCACAGCGCTCTTCGCGCAAAACAGGTATCATATTCGTGTTCAGGGGGTCAAATAACCCCTAGAGACGTCACCTTAGCGAAATCTGAGCTTCTGACTCAACTTCGAAAAAATGGGGTATGGATAGTCATGGCTAACTGATAGCCAAAAGCCATACTGCGACTAGCACACTGGTGATGACTGGTCTTCGAACTGAAATAACTCTAAGTCATGTCTTTTCGCAAACAACAGTACCTGGCTTACTTATTTGCCGTCTGCATCATTTTTCTGATTACCGGTAGGAATTCCATCCCGAGACCAGTCATCGATGGTAGGTGAGCTCGTAACTGCCGCTTATTACCCATGGAATAACTCACATTTTCCAAGTTAGGTCGAAATATCAGATTCGGCTAGGAACTTGTTCCCAGAGGTAATTTGACCCGCTGAACACGATATCATGGTATTATATTGCAAAAACCCTTGCGACATGTACTACAGGGGGGGCAAGCACAAGCACTCTTCCAGGCCACAATGGGTCTACACTTTCGAAAAAAACTGGTCGCAGTTTCCTTACAGGATAGTGCAGGTGAGCAGAGGTGTTAGAAGCTTTGTCGGCCATGTTCTTGGACAAATGCAAAAAAACGCCCTGCCGAGAACCGATCCTACGACGTCTCGCCTAGTAAACCAACTCGCTATCCGCTGCGCTCTACTGCCACGTTTCAAGTGGACTCCATACGTATATGTAAAGACGCTTCCACGTTTCCTCGCGATAGCATGTGAAACAGCCACGCGGGGATAAAACCCTCCATAACTCCGTTCAGAGAGTCGTTCCGCAAATTCTGAAGGTAGATTCGAGTTCACCGTCCCAAGACGCGTACAACGGTGTGCACCTCATTGGAAATGGCCGGGCTGACCTGTTGACCTTTCCTGGTAAGACCAAGTACCAAAATTACCGTGCATATGCCTTTGAAGTCTGCTAGTGCCCACAACAGCACAATGCTATGTCCTTTTATTGTCTTTGTCTTTCGCATGAGAAGATGACATGACAAGAAAGCAGCGACTGCTTGAATGAGAACGAGTATGGACAATCATTATATTTACCTAGATTCCCTGCTCGTTATCCAACCTCGCTACATGGAACTTTCCCTACTAGTGAACAAACACATCAATACCAAAAAAGATGGATGCATGTGATGTCCCGAAAGTTTGTGACCATTTTAGAATCTCGTATCAGATCTTTCCGTAGCCATTTCGAGATCCAGTTATGTGGTCTATGGGAAGTGTGTTAGGTAAGCATCCCACAGCTTCTTCACCGTCCCTCGCAGTCGCTGTTCTCATATGAAAAACGGTAATTGAAATTCATCATTTTCGACACACTTCGCTATATGAATCTCCACCAAGCCACAACGTGGTTGGAGCCACAAGCGGCATTCCATTTCGAAAGGAAGTTCAGGTACATCATATTTCTTACCGCTTTTGGTGTCGGCTCGGAAGCAGTCCTGAATCCATCATCCTGCAAATACCAATTCCACATTTTGTTAAACTACCGGAATCTAAGCCAATAACTAGAACCTGCAGATGCTAATAGAGGAAAACTGTAGCTTTACCTGAGCCGGTACGAGCTCGGAAGCAGTCCTACACCTTTCATCCTGGAATTTCTTGATTTCATTTTCCAAGCATAAACTGACATTAAACCTGGTGACCATAGAAGAGACAGATATAGGATTCCGTTGCCTTATACATACCTCGGAACAAAATCGGGTAGAGGGGCTTGACTGGGCCTACGTTTCGCCGTCTTCTTACGTCTGAGGTGAACAAAAAGGGGACGACCGCTTAAACGCTTTGACAATTCAAGGCAATTCCCTACATCAGCACTCAACAGCATCAATCAATGAGCATCAAGATGAATCCTAATTTTGCAAGCTGCTACAGAGCCTATTACCCTGGGTTGCCTTGAACGTGGGGTAACCGTTACCACAAAAATCGGCACCGCGGTAGAGCAAAACTTGCAGATGATGGCAGATGAGATAAAGGTGCAAGCTGCGGATTACGACCACATACTCCTATATTCTGCCCATTTGAGGGTGGTCATATGGGTCAATGCAAAAAACTCAGATTGTCTTTAGGTGAATTTAAGAAAATACCAACTTTTCGGAATGAAAAGGTATACTAGCTATGGAAGCTTACAATTGTTGCGATTTCTCTTTCGCGCTTCGTGTGCTTCTCAACATCGAACTGATGCTCTTGTGATGGTTCCACCTGAAGTATCGGATTACAATTTAACGGCTTCTCATTGGTACACAGACGCTTCATACAGAGTATGTCTCCGGAACTTTTTTCGGTACATTCACCAATTTAGGAAATTATTAATTTTTGAAGAAAAACAAGTTACGTAGATCAGCAAAGCAGAGATGCTTCTTTGCAACAACATTACCGGCATCAGTTTCACCTACGCCCCCCATCTGTTGAACTAACTCAACGCAAATATCCTACTATATATATAACAAGCTTGGCTGACGCGCACTACTGCGCGTATGGTTGAACCTATGGTAATGGTACTGCGCTGACAGGATTCCTGTATTGACCCCGAACACTTCCCGATTACAATTTTTTAGAATACGGCCTATTTCATTATGATTCTCCTATTTAATGAACGTTTGCTAATGTCTGGTGCTTATCACATTTCTAAGAAACACTCACCATCCGTTGGAAATAGGACAGCTAGCGGTTGAAAGACTTTTGATGGTAATAACATCGATATCATGGTGATATATCCTCACATTTCTCACATCCTAGTACTTCCGTTGAGCAGCTTCCAGGGCTTTTAATTTTCGTCGAAACTCGAGAGCTTAGCGGTCGTAACCATATCGCTAAGGGATAGAATACTTGACTGAAGCCTCTAACCATTCTTCTTTGGGCACCGGTGCTGAACTTTATAGGTGGTGGGTGCAGACGTCGATAACAGTCTTTTAGCTGTTATCATTCCTGTTCACCCAACGATAAATGGTTTCCATCGCTCCCCTATTAACATTCTGAAATAAACGTCCAATCGCTGCTGTAGCCGGTTGTTGATGAATTAGGATGACTCACTTTTTGAGGCCTCATATGGTATCCTATCATGCTTGTTATTCAACTTTCCTGTCACCCACCAATAATGTTCCCATCCTGCCCCCTATCTAACTTCTTGAAATCAACGTCCCATCGCTGCTGTGGCCGGTGTTATGAATTAGGTAACTCACTCTTTTTAAGGCCCTTGTGGTATCTTATCAGCTGTTATCACTTCCTGCCACCCACCAATAATGTTCCCATCCTGCCCCCTATCTAACTTCTTGGAACCCACATCCCGTCGTCGCTGTGGTCCGCGCTATGGAGCTGGTGACCCTTCCTTTTTAAGGCCCCTTGTGGTATCTTATCAGCTGTTATCACTTCCTGTCACCCACCAATAATGTTCCCATCCTGCCCCCTATCTAACTTCTTGAAACCAACGTCCCATCGCTGCTGTGGCCGGTGTTATGAATTAGGTAACTCACTCTTTTTAAGGCCCCTTGTGGTATCTTATCAGCTGTTATCACTTCCTGTCACCCACCAATAATGTTCCCATCCTGCCCCCTATCTAACTTCTTGAAATCAACGTCCCATCGCTGCTGTGGCCGGTGTTATGAATTAGGTAACTCACTCTTTTAAGGCTCCTCATG